TAATTACCCTTGTGGTGCATTGCTTACTATGTTGTCTGAACCTTGGAAAGTGCACAGCAAGAGTGGCTTCGAAACCCACAACCCTACAATAAGATATGGATTCTGGGACAGCTTTGAAGCCACCCCATTGTGCACCTTGCCAGGTTTGGACAGATAATTAGGGAAATCACACAGTTAATGATCAGCATGTAGGTGGCAGAGAAAAGTTACTGTGGTTTCTTTTCCCCAGGGACTGTTTGAATCCATCCATTGCTACAGAACGCCTCTGCGGCCAAGCTTTTGAATCTGTCACTCACTCACTAACTCACTTCATCAGTCAATCAAAATAGGCAAGTTTTTGAACAGCTATTGTAGATTTAAACTGATAATCTTAACTATTGGTCCCCACAGCTTCAACTGGGCTTACATGCTATATTTTATAGAAGTGAATGGAAACTTACATGCATGATGTGTCAGCTAAACCTGGTGTGATGTATTGGCTAAGAACCTGAGCTCCAAGTTCTTGGCTCATGTCTCACCCTGTCATAAAGTCTCTGGATGACCTTAAAGCCACTGTGATCTCAGCTGCATCCCCTCTGTGCAATAAGGGATCGAGCTGGCATGTTGAGTCACCTTTGCTAAGCTGGAAAGGTGCAGGTCTGCAGCTGGATGGGTGATTACATGTAGAAATGGAGCAGAGGGTTGGATTCAATGGCTTTATTGGCCCCTTCCAACCCTACTTTTAGTCTATTCTATATTGGCCTCTTTTCAGGGTTGTGGCCAAGGGGAAAAGAAGATGCACGGAAGGGAAGTGGAATAGAAATGCCGAGTCAGTATTATCAGAGCACTTGCTCTCTGTGCTTGGTGATTCCGGCCACCTCGAAGGAAGCCCACCCTTTTGTCTCCGCAGCCCGGCTAGCCTCACCCCTTTCTCTGCATTCACCCTTTTTGGGGGTGTTCATGTGTGACTGAAGGTTTCAAAACTAGCCTTGATTTAGCAAGAAGCCTGCCACCTTCATTGCAAGCCACCACGAGTATTTTGAATTGAAGTGATTCATGTAGTAATTCTTAACAAGGGTTACGAATCACTTCTCATTTGAAATAATCTTCAAGTGGTTTACAAAATAATAAAAATGCACACAAATAAAACAAATAAAAAGGAAGCCACCCCCCCCACACACACACACACTGTGGTATTAATGGGCACAGACATAATGATACCAATGAAATAATCTTCCGTTTTTAGCTGAAGTGCTGCAGAAGCAGTGAAGTGTCTTCAGCTTAGTGTGTTGAATGTGGAAATAAACCACCATTAGCTCAGAAGGTTGATTGTGTGCCAGTTGGCATCTGACATTGTGATACGTCCGTGCACTCTATAAATGAATGATAGCAATCATGAATATTACATGGCAGATCACTTGTGCCCTGCGGTTTTGCAGTGCCAGGGTTCAAAGTATCATTTGGCTAGTCTGATGGTGGCGGGTTATTTCAACTACATAAACCATTTCTTCTGCCACTGGCCCATCCAGTCACTAACTTTCTGCTGGAGTAAGCCCATCAGCCCCTCTAGGACCCCATTCTTCAACTTAGCCGGTTCCGCTACCCCCTGCCCCATGGAAGAGCATTCTGCCCCATGTCCTTGCATAACCCCGGTTTCCAGCCATGCTGTTGCCAGCCTGTTCCAGGAGGGTCTAATCCCCCCCGGGGAGGTCACTTGAGGACACAGCTGGGCCTCTTCTCCCCTTCCCCCAATTCTTTTCCCTTCGAGGGAGGCCAGCGGGACTTCGCTGTTTTCATGTTTCCTTTGATGATGTTACAGTTCTGGCAACATGCCAGAGAGCTGCAGGTTTCCTTCCAGAGTGCTTTGCATGCAGCGCACGGGGCGTGTGTGGTGGTGGCGGCGGGAGAAGCGGAGGGGAAGAAAGCTGTGCAGGGGCTGCACAGGGGAAGGGCAGGAGGGGTCCAAGCCTGGCACAGCCCCTGGCACCTCCCTGCTCTTAACCCTGACTTAGAGCAGAGGAGACAAGATTCCAGGCAGCGGCACACGGGTGGATGGGGGAATGTCCCTTTCCCTTCCCTTTCCTTGCATCAATCATTTTACTTTCAATCTCCCCTTACTGCTTTTTTCTACACTGCCCCCCCTTTCCAGTTTGGGTACCCTCCTTTACGAACTTTCAGCTCCTCTTAAAGAAACTGTGATGATTTCTAAACAGAGAACTTTAGGGGCTCAAGCCATGCTTGCCAACTAGAAAGCCAGACCCTAAACTTGTGGGGATAGCGGCTGGTTGCATTAGGGAAGGATAACTTTGCACATGTTAGAGAGCATTTTTGCATTTCCCATGTTCCAAGACTGAGCGAGATCTGGCACTGAAAACAAGTTCTGGAGTGACTGGATTCTGAGCCAGGACTAGTAGCTTCAAATCGCTAGCTCTGAGTGGATGCCAGCAGTGAGGTCATTCATGTTTGAGCTCTGAGTCTCCCACCCTCTTTTGCCGATGTTGCTTTCCAAGGGGGAGAGGGGAAATATGCCAGAGCCATTCCACGTTTGCATGAGTTTATTTAAATGTATGCAAAGGAACAGTGCTTGTTACCTAGCATTAGCAGAGTTTTTAAAGGGAAAAGAAGAAAAGCTTGAGACACAAACTGGTTTGGGCCACTTAAAACCAGTCTGGCAGCTTCTCCCCCAGCCCAGTTCCTTCTAGACTTAGGGGTGTGTGTTGGTCCTTTCAGACTGTCAGCCTCTGAATGCAAAACGGGAACTGCAGCACAGCCTGGTGTTTGAGGTTCTTCTGCTGCTGGTTGATATGGACCAACATTTTTGGTTTCTCTCTAGTGTTTGAGCACACACACTAGACAGTGGAATTCATGGAATTCACGGCCAGTAGCTATGGCAAGGGCCACTGGTGCAGGGTGCCGGTTTCCACACCGCACCTTTTGAAGAATGCATTTCAAGAGGAGAGATCTGTCCATGTGTCTTAATGGGTTTAGCTGGATTAAGCCTCCATCTTCCAGGGCAGTTTATCTCTGAATGCCAAATCTGAGTACAGGCCACAGAGGATGGTTGCTGCCTCCCTCATAGCCTTTTCATGAGGTCATCTGGCTTGGCTGTGCTTTAAGTCAAAGGAATGAACTTAGCTGGACACCTGGTCAGCCAACACTTTCAATATTGTAGGCACACACAATTCCAGGGTGACTTGTTCTGTTGGCTCAGTCTAGCAAACCAGGCATCGTGTATTCCCATCCCAGGTCAGTGACAGATATGCTAGGCAGCCCTGAGCCGAGCCATTAAACTCCATTAGTTGTAGAGGGGTGGCATATAAATGCAAAAATAAATAAATAAGCAAGCAAGCAAGCAAGCAAACCCCTGGTTTCTTAGACCCAACATGGCAGGGAGAAGGTATTTGAGGGGCATCTGCTTTGTATGGAGAAAGTCCCAAGTTTGATCCTTAGCTTATGCAGGTAGGGCTGGCAAAATTCTTGGGTGAATTGCTGTTGGTTGGTGTAGACATGACTCAGATGGACCATGGGTCTTACTCAGTCTAAGCCATTCCCTATTTCTCTCCACCACTTACCCAATATTTAAGAGTAAAAGAAATACAGGAGCATTTATTGAACCCTGACCTAAATAGTAGGTGACATTGATCATCCACAGACCATTCCATCTGTACTCCAGTATGTGCCACAAATAACACAGAAAAGTGGTTGAAGAGGAAGCAGCTCTGAGCTCAGACAAGTGAGCCAAGCAGCTTACTTCCATGTTCAACCAGTACAGAAGTATATTCCTTTCTGGTGCAAAGTAATGGATTTATCTGTGGTCTCTAGCAAAAGTCTTGGACTCTTCTCCTTGTTGCCTCCCTTCATCTCAACACCAGTAAGAATAATTATCCATAATATTTGTGCTGTGCTTTAGGATGGCCGTGTGCATTTTCTCAGGAATCCTACAACAACCTTATAAAATAGCTTAAAAGCATACGAAGAGCCATGTTGGATCAGACCAAGAGTCTGCCTAAGTCCAGCATTTTGTCCACATGATGGTCAACCAGCAGTCTGTGGGAAGCCCTTTAGCAGGACATGAATCTACTAGCACCCTCCCACCCATGTTCCTCAGTAGTTGGCACACAGAGGAATACTGCTTCCAGTATTCCAGGTCATGTAGTACCATCGCAACCGCTAGCCTTCCATCCTGCAGGAACAGCAATGGCTTCTTGTTGTTGCCATTATCTTGTTCCTCTCTATATCATGGAGGAGGGGCCTGCAAATGAGAAATACCAGCTTGCCTGGGACCCACAGGTGAGTTTATGGCAGAGGTAATTTCCTGTGATTTCCTGGCTCACAGCTCTCACCCTCAGCTGCTGCTCTGTGCAAGCCTCGCACTGCTGCATCGGCCCCACAGTTCTCCATTTTATTATTCGGAAAGGGTTAAGATCTTAGCCCTTATAGAAAACATGTGGGGTGGGACATTGTGAGGTGTTAGTGGTGTGCACTGTGAGCATGCAAGGATGCAGAAGTGGTGCACACAATAGCTGACAATTGATTTCTACTTCTGCTTACAGTTGAGTGTTAGCTAGAAAAAGGCACTCTGTGCATGCTTGAATGGTGCTTCATGCATTGGCATTTTCCCTTCCCATGGATGCTAGTTTTGACATTGCAACATACCAGGACCCAATCATTTTCCTCCTCACTTCCCTCCATTACACTCTAGCATTTGATATATTATTCCACGCTTGCAGCGCAGAATAAATTATGCAAAAGAAACAGGCAAATATATTTCATTTGCATAATTCATTTTTGAGTTCTGAGGTTCAAAAAATTAGGCACCTGTTGTGTGGGTGTATGGAAGGATGAAAGTGGAATTTCCACAACTCCGAACTCAAGACCAATAAACTAAAGCAGGATCTCGGGGCGGATTGATGAAATTCAGAGTATGTGTTATTGTTTCTTGTTCTGACATCATAGAGTTGGGAGGACATGAATTTACATGAATCAGTAATAAAATGCTTTTCCTTTTCTTACATTTGTAGGGTTTCATCCCCACGTTTTCGCCCCAGGATGCTTCCTGTTCACCAACACTGAAGGAGGCACAATGGGGCTTGCCTCCTAACTCCGGTTAACAGCCCCTTTCCTCCCAAATCCCAAACCTGCATCTGTCGTGGCGACCGTGGAGTGTTGCCTCTGGGGGCGGAGCCCACCTCGGTCTCTCCTTCTTGGTTCTGGATGGAATTGCGGTGAATGGAACAGAAGCCCAGCACGGTGGAGTGCCTGTCGGAGCCAGAGGACACCCGGTAAGCCAACCTACCAGGTGGAAGATTTCCAGATGTTGATGTCGCTCTTGCATGGACCCCGATTGGAGTACTTACGACCTATTTGGCTCTGGGTTTAGTTGAAGAAGTACCACTGGTAGAGTTCTTATCCCTTCTCTGGGGTACGTCCTTCCTTGCAATGTGGCAAGAGGGACCTGCAACGCATCGGGCCTGTTCGCACAATTAAACAGCCCACCAGCAGCCATTTTGAATATTGTTGAGTATTGCCTCTTGTTGTCCAAACCTGGTGTGAGGATTAAGCAATCCTTACAGAGTTTGTTCAGTCCTCACACAAGCCAACCACTGCCAGGTTCAGACAACATGCCTGGCAAACTGTGGTTATGGCTTGAATTTTCTAGGATGGCCCTGACAAGCACCCAGGCTTGTCATGGCTTAAATAAACTTAAATATGGCTTAAATAAGACTAAATAAGTCATAATCTGCAGGGATAATGCAAATTTGGTCAGTGTTGCAGTGCAGCCTTTTGCTCTAGCAGGAGCCTTCCCAATCCAGGGTTTCAGCCAGTCAACCAGAATATTACAAGCTGTAAGGAGCTCAAGAAATCCTGCCTGTCCCACGGGTTTCATTTCCACTGAGCGCATGTTTGCCCCATTCAAGGTTTCTTCTTTAATGATTATGATGTATTGCTACAAACTATGCAGTTGCTACAAACTAGTGGCTCCATTTTGGCTCCGTTTCTGTTAGCACAGCAATACTGAGTTCCCTATGAGAGGGAATGATGGAGTATGTTTAACTCAAGGGGCTAGTATGATCTTTGATTGTTTCTAAGACTTTAGTTTCTTATTCCTGTATTAATACCCTGCAAGCTCAGAAACTGGGATTGAATATGGAATTCATCATCTTGAATATCTTGGACTCCTCCTTCCTCCCCCTTTTTTCTTTTTAAAAATGTAGTTAGCCATGAAATGAAGGAGCAATTTCCTACCCCAGCCTTCTCTTTCAGCCATTTCCCTTCTGTGCATACATGTTTTCCCTCTTGTCTATTTGTTGTTATTAGCAGGAGCAATTTGCTGTGAGCCAAGCGAGCCAGGTGTGCCCATGGATCTCTCTAGCTATCAAACCCCTATCCTTGGGGTGGGGTGTTCTGTTGCACTGGTGATTTCCAGAGGCTGTGCCAGAGCACACGGATGGTATCAGGAGGGATCTTCTAGCGCGTTACGAGGAATTAATTAAGTAGAGCCTCCCGAGTCTGAAGTAACGTGCTCATCTTCTATCTGCATAATTCAGTGCTCCGTTCTTCCTTCTAGTCAGATGGGTGGGTAATATTGTTGTGTTCGCTTGGATTGTTTGGCTATCTATCCTCAGTTGTAGAGACATGGCAGAATTTGCTACAGTGACTTGCACAGAAATGGTGTACTGGTAGAAGTTCTTAGCTTTGCAGACTGTAAAACATAGACTCATTTTTTGGGTGTAAGAGAATGGCCTCCCAAGTGTGGCTTAAGTGCTGGACGTTTTGATAATTCTGCATTGCATGCTTTTTATAGTATAGGAACCTGCATCTCTGAACAGTAACTTGATGTGTATTTTGTATTTCTTTGACCCAATCAAGGTTTTTCACAGAACGCTCATACAGTGTTGCCTGGAACCCCCTGAGCATCCATTTTCCTTTGATGAAAGGCAAATAGCTGGTGTGTTGAACCCGGGGCCAGAGCCTGTGTGTGTTCTTTCTATGAGGAGGTGCTTGTTGGAGGCCAGAGCCGCCCAAGTAGCCGTATGCAGTTGTGACTGAGTAGGACACAGCCATGTAGGAGGGAGTGAAAATGAGAAAGACCAGATTCAGAATGCTTTCGATAGGTTCTTGATGTACATTTAGGGTGTGGAGTCATAGTTCACAGCTAGAGCTGGATAAAATCAGCAAGCAGCATTCCCTGTCTGTCATGGTTATTCAGGAATTAATTATTATTGCCATTATTGTTAAATAAGGAGCCAGCAAAACCCGTAAAATTTCCTTCTTGTCCTTCACCTTCTCTGCTTGTCCTATTCCTTGTGGTGCCAGTCTCTGAACTACTCTGGTAGATCACTACTCTTGTGACTGCTATTGGCTTAGCTGCTCTGAGATCACAGAGGAGCTAGCAAATTTAAGACCAGGGAACTGAATATTTTGTGGGAGAAATTAAAAATTGAATGCTTACTTTATAGTAACTGGGAAACATTGCCTCTGTGTTGTGATGACTTTTGGCCTGGTTTGTATATAACATTGAACCATGAGTTATTTAATCCATGGATTGTTGTGATGTGTAAACATAGCTGCCATGTGACACAATCATGGTTTGTTAACTGTGGACAAGCTTCAGCTGTTGAGCTATGAAATAAACAAAAAGATAAATAACCCAAGTTAAAGAACCATGGTTTATTGCTGGGTTGTGAACTCTTGGTTGTCTAAATTACAGGCAGTCATTTGAACTCAGAACAAAGAGTTATTCATTGGTTGTTTTGCCAAGCTACAGAGGCAGTGGGCAAGAGTGCTCAAAACCCAGATTTTCTACATCCCAGTGCTACAGTGCTACAAAGGCATTTTGGATAGAGGGAAGGCATAGGTGAAGGAGGGGGGAAACTAACATTCCAGGAATGTTAGGAACAGAAACTGTGGCTTTTTGATCATCTTTCAGACAGAGTCTGGGTAGGGCAACAAACTATGGATTAAATAAACCTTGGGTTAGTGTCTTGAGTGCCACTTCGGTACAGATCAGATAAGCACATGAAAGTACCTTATGCTCCATTAGATCAATTGAAATACTTCTATATTTATTAACTATATTACAAACTGCCATTTTCTTGTAAGGAACCCAAAATCCCTCACATGAGTCACCTCCTCTCTGTTTTATTCTCACAACAACACTGTGAGGTAAGTTAGACTGAGAGACAGGGACTGGCTCAAAGCCACCCACTGAGCTTCATGGCCAAGCGAGGACTAGCACCCAGGTCTAATGCTCTAACCGCTGTTGTAGGGGCGAGCATCTTGTGGGCTCCCAGGTGTTTTGGTCATTCGCTGTTGGCTATACTGGTTATGGGAATTATAGGCCAAAACATCTGGAGTGTCGCAGGTTGCCCATCCTGATCTACCCAGTAGGCAGTGCATTTCCACCAGGACATCAGGCAGAGACTTTCTCTAACTCTGCTACCAGAAAAATCTTTTAAATCAAAGGTTGAACCTGGGCCCTTCTTTGTACACACTGTGTGCTCCACCACTAACTTTTTGGCTTACTTTGAAGTGTTCCAGTGGGCACCTGGATGTCATGTGTTGCTTACATACATGTATGATGGTTGATTTAAAACATGTAGTACTTTCAGTGGACAACGAACTCCCTTGGCGAGGCGTGTGTCTCCTGGTTTCCTCGTTATTGCAACACATGTTAATACTTGTTTGTGTGTAACTCTGTCTAAATCCTCCATAGATCGAAGCTGAACATGTGAGCTTGTCTGCATTGAAAAGTCTTGTTGCTCAGGTAATTTTAGTTCTCTCTGTGGTTATTGACCTCTTTTACCTTTTCACACATACAAGGCACTGCTTTTTGCTGCAACAATTCAGAAGTGAGCATGTATATGCAAACCTGTCCTTGGACATCCCTTTTGTACAGATTCTCTCTTCCCTGATTAAAAACTGTTTTTCTTTTTTTTTTTTGTTGACTAGATTGTAATAGATTTCTCACCATTACCCACACTTCCAACAATTTGATTCATCCTCCATTTTATAATACTCTTGGATAAGGAGCGCCACAAGAGCAAGGGACTTCACATACTGTTATTTTTTGTTTGTACATTAGCCGGTTGCCTGTAAGGAGGAGAGACAGCTTCCAGGTGGTCAAGCTGAGAAACTTTGATAAAGCAGTTTTCTTCTAGACTACAAATGATTTGAAACTGTTACATGTGGGCTAGGAGGCCTAATCTAAAATTGTGTGAATTAGTTATTTTGGGCCAGTCTGTACCATGATTTCTGACTTAACTGGGGAACTACCGTATTTTTCACTCTATAAGACGCACTTTTTCCCCCCGCAAAAGTAAGGGGAAATGTCTGTGTGCCCGACGCCCGGGACACTGCCGGCCGCCTGCACCACGTGGCACCACCTGGCCAGCACGCGCTCGGTGTGCCCTGCTCCACCCCCCCCTCCGGCGCAGGTGAGAGCTGTGCCGCTCAGGGGGAGCGGTGCGGAGGAGGAGGAGCCGCGGGCTTTAACCCGCCGGCTGCACGGAGAGATGGACTGCTCACCCTCACCGCCCGGGAACTGCTCACCCCCACCGCCTGGGAAGACCTGCCACTGCGCCACCCGGAAGACCACTGCCGGCACGCTGCCAGCCCGGCTGTACCACACCTGGCCGGCACGCGCTCGGCGCGCTCTGCTCCGCCCCCCTCCTCCGGCGCAGGTGAGAGCTGTTAATCACAGGTTGGTGTGTGTTTTCAAATGGCAACCTGTCTTTTAATGAAGCCCATGGGGAAGTGATGGGGAATGTGCCTGTGATTATCAGGAAGCTTTCCATGGATCAGTTATCTGTTAGTTGATCAGACACATTTTTTTTTAGGATCAGTGGATATTTGAACAGCATTACCTTCGTGTATGAAGTTTATTCTTCAAAGGCTACTTAGTCCGCTGTGTGTTTGATTTACCATACAATATCTCATTTTTTGTCAGAAGTTTTTTTCTATTATTTACTAGTAGGGCAGCGTGGACATTACTGGCTTTTTTAGATTTGTTATTGAATTGTCTGCAGCAGCTCTTGTATAACTGGTGTAGATTGTGGATTCCTTCAATAATTCCACTACTGACTAAGAAAGTGATGTCAGTGATTGTGAGCAACAGAGCTTCATAAATTCTGACTCTAGTGATGATGAGTTCTATGGGTTCAACGAAAACTAGAAGAGTACTCGAACTTTAAAGTCTCTCTTTTGTTAATGACCGTGATGATGGTTCTTAATGCCACTGTTGACTGCTGTTCACTTTACAAGGTTGAAATGCGGTATTACT